ATTATTTTTAATGCCACTGAAGATGTGGATATCATTTTTGAATTGCATGTCGAGCTTGGACGAGGATATACTCCTGCTGAAATTACAATGGAAAGATTGCAGGAAAAAGGTGCAGTGCCACTAGATGTACTTTTTTCTCCTGTGCAAAATGCATCAATTGAAATAGAAAATGTTCGTATAGGCTACAGGAATGATTATGAAAAGATTCTTCTTACAATCAACACCAATGGCCTACTGAGCCCCAGCGATGCACTAGGTCAAGCGGCCAAGATAATCAAGGAGCATATGGATTTACTTATTAATTTTGATGAGTTGCTTATTGAAAAAGATGATGGAACAGATCAAAAGTTAATAGAAATGAAGAAATTACTTAGCCTTTCTATTGAAGAATTAGAACTTTCATCGCGATCTTTTAATTGCCTAAGAGCAGCTAATATAGTAAGTCTCTATGATTTAGTTTCTTGTAATGAATCAGAAATAGTGTCACTTCCCAATTTTGGAACTAAATCCATGGATGAGATAAAGAAAAAACTATCTGATATGCATCTTTCATTAGGCATGTCATTACCCGAAGAATTGAAGTCGATAAAATAATTATAGGACACTGTTATGAAGCACAGAATTCAGATAAAAAAATTAAGTAAAACGCCAGCTCACCGAAAAGCAATGATACGGAATATGCTTGTTGCATTGTATAAGCATGAACAGATAAAAACCACATTAAGTAAGAGCAAGGTTCTGCAAAGGTTTGCAGAAAGGTTAATCACAAGAGCAAAAAAGGATACTGTTGCTAACAGAAGAATAGTTTCCAAGTGGGTTCAGGATAAAGCTGTGCTCGTAAAATTATTTACAAAAATAGCCCCTCTCTTTCTCGAAAGAAATGGTGGGTATACGCGTATAATAAAGCTTGGCCAGAGAGTGGCGACGCAAGCGAAATGGTAAATATTTCATTTGTTGAATTTACCGAGGATAAAAGCAATAAGGAACACAGCGTTCAAGAGCAAAAGAAAAATAAAAGAGAAAAAGGGACAGCAGAAAAACCTGCAGTAAAAGAGAAAAATACAAAAACCAGTGTAGCTACACCCACAAACAAGCAAAAATAGTGTAGCAATGCTAAAGTGTAGTGCGTACATTTGCTAAGCAAAAAAGATTTTTTACTTCAGTACAAAAAATCTACCTCAGACTTTTATAGCAAAAACGATCTTATGGATAGTGATGAGCTACTGGGTTGGGGTAGTGCGTATTCACAATATAAGCGTTTTGAAATACTGCTAAGCTTGGCACGAACTGAATTTCAAATCAAAGAGACAGATAGTGTTGTGGATGTTGGGTGTGGTTACGCTGCGCTGTACTCATACTTTGATTCCATACATTTCTACCCCCCTACTTCGGTGTTGATGTAAACCCAGAATATATAGAGAAGGCGAGGCAGCGATATAAGAACGCACGCTTTGCTGTGTTTGATATTTTGTCTGTTGAAAAAACAAATATTGGTGATTTTGATTTTGCATTCCTCTCAGGTGTTCTTAATATTGACATTAGCATGGAATATACACAAGCACTAGATAAATATCATGCAAGGTACGTTGTTATTGATCATGTTCTCAATTTACTGTGCAGGACTGCTAGAAAGGGTGTTCTAGTTAATTTTTTGCATGTGAATTCTAAGAGTAAATTCAATATCTTAAGCTATCACCAGCCAAAAACCCTTGTAATAGAATTAGAAAAAAGAGGGTTTCAAATAAAGAAGGTACTTGAAGCTTACCTTGATAATGATTTCTCATTGGCCATACTTCCAAAAAGATGAACGAAAAGAAAAATGAAATAATAGAGATATATACAGATGGGGGCTGTAGTGGAAATCCTGGCATTGGAGCATGGGCTTACTATATTCCCAAGAGGAGCTGTGAAGCCTCATGTTTCCAGAACAATACAACTAACAATAGAATGGAGCTTACCGCTGCTATTATGGCGCTTAGATGGTGTGTGGAGCACGTTGAAATGAAGCCTTTACGTGTGTATACTGATTCGAAATATTTACAAATGGGTATTACTGTATGGTTAAAGCGTTGGGTACGCAATGGGTGGAAGACTTCAGCAAAAAAAGATGTATTGAATAAAGATTTGTGGAAAGAACTTAGTTCATTAGCGGAGGTATTGCTCATTGAATGGAGTTGGGTTCGTGGTCACACTGATAACAAACACAATATACATTGTGATATATTAGTTCAGAAAGAGATAAAGAATTGTAAAGCACAGCAATCAGCAATCACAACTGTATAGGCGGTAGCTAATCATAGTGGCCTAATCATATTTCTATATCATATTTCTATTCGTATAATTATGATATAAAACTATAGTAACAACAGTGTCTTACTTATAACATCACATTACGCTATCCATCATAGACATCTATGATGGGTTTCTTTCACGTAGTACACGAGTGAGACCAAGCATCTATTATTTCAATTTACTTATTTTTTCTTTTGGCTCCTACAGGTGTACTCTGTGTTTTTTTCGTGTTGCGAGGTTGTGACTGCTTGGATGTACGTACGATTTCTTGCGCTATAGCTAATCTAGCAATTGGTATTCTAAATGGAGAGCAGGAAACATAGCTAAGACCAGCATGATATGCAATGGCAATCGATGCTGGATCGCCACCATGCTCACCACAAATACCTACTGATAAACCCTTGTTGACAGAACGTCCCTTTTCAGTTCCGAGAGTTACGAGCTGTGCTACAGCACTATCTAAGGTTTGAAATGGGTCGTTAGTAAGTATATCTGCTTCAAGGTAGTATGGAAGGAAAGATGCTATATCTTCTCTTGAGTATCCAAAGGTAAGTTGGGTTAAATCGTTTGTACCGAAGGAGAAAAAATCCGCATGCTGCGCTATCTCATCAGCCTTTACTGCTGCTCGTGGTATTTCTATCATGGTGCCAATTTTGCATGTAATGGATACACGTGATTTTGCAGAAAGAGATGTTATTATTGCTTCTGCTCTCTTTCTTAGAATTTCAAGTTCTTGGTAGGTTCCAACGAGTGGTATCATTATTTCAGGTTTTGCATCTATTCCTTTTTTCTTGCATTGAATAACTGCTTCAGTTATGGCTTGAACCTGCATATCGTAAATTTCGGGGTATGTAATTCCTAGTCTACACCCCCTATGCCCCATCATTGGATTATGTTCGTGTAAATTCTGCGTTCTTTGAGCTACTTGAATGGGTTCTATACCGAGTTCTTTTGCTAAGTCCCTTTGTAACGATTCTTCTTGAGGAAGAAACTCATGCAATGGTGGGTCAAGAAGACGAATGGTAACAGGGAGTTTTTCCATAGCTGACATGATTTGAAAGAAATCTTTTCTCTGCATAGGCAGTAGTTTACTAAGAGCCTTGCTGCGGCCTTTGCTATCTGAGGCAAGTATAAGTTCCCTAAAATGTCTGATTCGTTCTGTTCCAAAGAACATGTGTTCTGTGCGACAAAGCCCTATACCCTGTGCTCCCCATTTGAGTGCGTGACGCGCATCAGCAGGAGTGTCAGCGTTTGCCCTTATGGCGAAGCTACTTGGGTGTTCTTTTACACGTTTTGATTTTTTTCGCAGTTCATCTGCATAGCTAAGAAATGTATTTATATCATCGGTTATCTTAGCCTCTACTAGCGGTAGTGGCTCTGCGTATATTTCTCCTGTAGATCCATCTAATGTAATAGATGTGCCAATAGGAAATTTCTTCCCACTAATAACTATAGCGTCGTCTTCTATATGCAGTGCTGAACACCCTACAATGCATGGTGTTCCCATGCCTCGTGCAACTACTGCTGCATGACTTGTCATTCCTCCAGTTGATGTTAGTATGCCTTCAACTACATTCATGCCACCAATGTCTTCTGGTGATGTTTGCTCTCGGACGAGTATGGTTTTCACATTTTTCTTTGCTAGAGCTTGTGCGTCTTCAGATGTAAGAACGATTGCTCCCACTGCCGCACCAGGAGATGCATTACTTCCTGTTGCTATAGCTTTTTTGTTCTTCTTTGCCTTATCGTCAATTTGGGGATGAAATACCTGTTCAAAAAGTTCATTGCTTACTCGAAGCACTGCCTCCTCTTTGCTAATAAGCTTCTCTTTTACCATATCCACTGCTATTTTTATTGCTGCATTTCCTGTACGTTTCCCACTTCTTGTTTGAAGAATATAAAGTACATTATTTTCAATAGTAAATTCTATATCTTGCATATCTCTGTAGTGTTTTTCTAGCTTATCTTTTATCTGTATGAGTTGCTTGTATATTTTTGGAAGCTGGGAGTTAAGCGTTTCAATTTTCTTGGGTGTACGAATACCCGCAACAACATCTTCGCCTTGTGCATTCATAAGATATTCTCCATAGAATATTTTTTCTCCCGTTGAAGCATCTCTAGTAAACGCAACTCCAGTTCCTGATGAATCACCAAAGTTCCCAAATACCATCGATTGCACATTCACCGCTGTTCCTATGAGTCCTTTAATATTGTTTATGCTTCTATATGTAATGGCACGCTCATTGTTCCAGGAGTTAAACACCGCAACAATGGCTTCCTGTAATTGTGTGAGCGGGTTTTGTGGGAAGGGTTTTTTTGCATGCTTCTTAAAGATTAGCTTGTATTCAGCTACGACTTCTTTAAGCGCCTCAGCATCGAGATCGGTATCCGAGTTTGCCTTATGTGCCTCTTTTATTTTTTTTAACGCCAGTTCAAAGGTATGATGATTCATACCGTATACCACATTTCCGAACATGTTTATAAGTCTTCTGTATGCATCCCATGCAAATCTCTCATTATTGGAAGAAGACGCCAAAGCTTTTACAGATTTGTCATTAAGGCCGAGGTTTAAGATAGTATCCATCATTCCAGGCATGGATACCGCTGCACCAGAGCGCACAGAAACAAGAAGAGGCTCTTCTGTGTTTCCAAATTTTTTAGATAGCATTGTGCCTAATCGATTGATGGCATGGGGAATATCGCGTACAAGAGATTCAGGGAGCTTTTTATCTTGATTAAACTTAGCGCACGCCTCTGTAGTGATAGTAAAGCCAGGAGGTACTGGTATGCCGATCTTTGCTATTTCTGCCAAGTTAGCACCCTTGCCTCCTAGTAAATCTTTCATGCTGGAATTTCCTTCCGATATTCCTTTGCCAAAAAAAGAAATGTATTTTAATGTTTTCATATATATACCCTCGAAAATGTATTGTTATGTTGCTGTGTATGCTCTCTAGCTTACTACAGTACAGGAAGCTTTGTTAAACTTTCTGTAATAGATGTTTCATCAAATAGACTATCGTCTAAAGTGCCTGCCAAGAAATCTTCGTAGGCCTTCATATCAAAGTAGCCATGACCACAGAGATTAAACAGTATGGTTTTAGCTGTGCCATCTCTTTTGCATTCTAATGCCTTTGCTATTGCTCCATGTACTGCATGACTTGCTTCTGGTGCCGGAATAATACCCTCAGTTTTTGCAAATGTTATCCCTGATTTTAGACAATCATTTTGAAAAAAAGATTCCGCCTCTATGTATGAATGGTTTTTGAGATGACTGATAAGAGGAGACATGCCATGATAGCGTAGACCGCCAGAGTGAAATCCAGGTGGCATAAAGTCAGCGCCTAATGTGTACATCTTAACTAAAGGGGTAAGATGCATGGTGTCCCCATAATCATATGCAAATTTTCCTTTAGTAAGAGAGGGGCATGCAGAGGGTTCTACTGCAATAAAGCGAGTATTTTTATTTTCTTTAATTGCTTTTCCAAGAAAGGGAAGCACTATTCCCGCGAAATTTGAACCACCTCCAGTACAGCCAATTATTATATCGGGGTAGACATCCGCTATCTCCATTTGTTTAATTGCTTCTAGTCCAATGACTGTTTGATGCAGTAGAACGTGGTTCAAAACGCTACCAAGTGCGTAGTTTGTATTGCTGTTTTGTGCAGCTACCTCAACTGCTTCAGAGATAGCAATACCTAATGACCCATTGGAGTTGCGATCTTTTTCCAGTATTGCTCTTCCTGCATTTGTTGTTTCCGATGGGCTTGGAATACATTTTGCTCCGTAGCTTTCCATAAGTGATTTTCGGTAAGGTTTTTGATGGTAGCTAATTTTCACCATATACACTTCTATATCTAATCCAAAGATAGCTCCCGCATAGGAAAGCGCGCTACCCCATTGTCCGGCTCCGGTTTCAGTACTAATTCTTTTGATTCCAGCTTCCTTATTGTAAAAAGCTTGAGCTATAGAAGTATTGGGTTTATGACTTCCCGATGGGCTAAGGCCTTCATATTTGTAGTATATCTTTGCAGGCGTGTCTAGAAATTTTTCTAAATTATACGCTCTAAAAAGAGGGCTGGGCCTCCATTGCTTGTATACAGCACGAACGGGTTCAGGTATTTCTATTTCCCTCTCCATGCTTACTTCTTGCGCTATAAGCGACATAGGGAACAGCGGTGCAAGATCATCTGGACCGATGGGCTTTTTTGTTCCAGGGTGCAGAGGTGGTGACATGGGCTCAGGTAAATCTGGGCTAATATTGTACCAATGCTTTGGTAAGTCTTTTTCTTCTAGTATAATTTTTGTTTGCATATTCAAAAAACCTCCTATTATTGAATATTGTTTTGTGTGTTAAGAATATGTCTATGAATTGCTATATAACTACTTGTCTATATATATTATACTAGAAAAAAGAAATAATGAAGAACATCGCAAAGCTATGCATATCCCATACCTTTTATGCTATTATCTCTGCTGTGTTAGGTACGAGCGGTTAGTGCGGACTCTTGCGTGCTTATGTTTTGCATGTAGCCAGCTTCAGCAGGGCTGTCTTTTGCAATACGCCATGTAATTTAGGTTAACCCCGCCCATTCTTCGTAGCCGAAGCGTATGTTGAAATTCTGCAATGCTTGACCAGCAGCACCCTTCCATAGATTATCTATCATGCAATGCAGTAGTATACAGTTATCCTCACATCGAGTGTTAATAATCGCATGATTTGAATTGCGTACATGCAGTGTTCCATGATACTGTGAGTTGCTATCGCTATCTATTACAGACACAAAGGGTTCAGCAAGATATTGAGCATACAACGCTTCTCTTGCCCGTATACTTTCAGCACGAGATGGGAGAGCGAGCATAATACTACAATACATACCACTGCTTATTGGGGCGAGATGTGGAGTAAAAACTACTTCAACATCGCTCGCCCCCCCCAGGTTCTTAATTTCCTGTTGTATTTCTGGTACATGTCTATGTTGAATTCCAGATTTGTACGCGCTAATGTTTTCATTCCGCTCGCAGAAAAGAAAATTGCTATCTTGAGTTCTTCCCGCACCAGAAATACCAGTGATAGCTGTGATATGTATAAGCCCTTGAATAGTGCTTGTTCGCAGTATGGGGAGCATGGGGAGTAGGGTAGCGGTTGGGTAGCAGCCCGGATTTGCTATTATTGTAGCATGCTGTATATCATGTCTATACCATTCGCTTAGACCATATGTAGCCTTAGCTAGTAGCGATGGGTTGGGGTGCTCAGTACGGTAGTACTCTGCGTATACCTCGCTGTTTTTTAGTCTAAAATCTCCCGAAAGGTCGATAATACAGGTGGACTCTTTTGAGTGGGATGCTAGGGTGTTGGAGGGTTTTGTATTAGGTAGAAATGCTTGTATGTGCTTTGCGAGTACCCCATGTGGCAATGCAGAAAATATTGCAGTACACGCATGTGCTAGCTCCTGCGTATACAGTGCATGCGTAGATATGTAGGTTTTGCTTGCTAATTTCTGCATTTGCTGCTCTGTTATGAGAGGGAAATCTGAGGCGATGTATCTTCCTTCTGCTGAGTCAGAGCTAGCATACACTGTATCAATATAGGGGTGTTGCAGTATTCTCTCAAGTAGCACTGATCCAACATAGCCTCGTGCACCTAAGAGCAGTACTGTTGTTCTTCTGTTATGTGTAGACATAGTATGTGGTAACACAGTATTATTCTATACTGTCTTTCTCTTCTATTATAGCGGGAACATCTTTCTCAATAAGCAGTAGATCGAACTCATTATGCGTATGTGACTTTATAGTGTCTGGTATTGAGAGTTGAATAAATGCACAGCTAAGAGCATCTATCCCTGCAGCAAAACCCCCTACCAACATCTGTACTGGAATGATGATAGAGTATATTTCTTGTATATTCACCGTTGGTATTTGAGAGAGCGTGAGAATAGCGCTTATAATAATAGGATGCATAAAAGAGGCAGAGATATACGCTGTAGCTATTGCTCCAATAAAAATAATGAGAAAGAAGAAGACATCTACAGGAATAGTGCTGTAGATTTTATAAATCGTAAGATACGAGAGGGCAAGAACAATAGCAGTCCCTGCACGAGAAAATATCATGGAGAGAGAAACAGTCATATCATTAATGCGTTTTCGTGAGTACCCCAACTTTTCTACATGTAGCAAAAGAGCACTGCTGATCATAAGATTATTTGTAGAAAAGGCTGTGCATACTGCTGGGATAACTTGCTTGCACCACGAGAGATAGGAAAACGATACCTTCTGAATAAAAAGAAACAGAGGAAAAATAATAAATAATAAAAGCAGCAGTATAATAAGCAAGGTAAGGAATAGCTTACCAAAAAGTGCAAGCGAGTCAAAACTTTGCAAATTTGAGCTTACAACTATTAAATTAAAAAAAACACAGATAAAATAATACGGAAGCACTATACGAAGAATAGTGTAATTGATTCTTCTTAAAGCATCAATGGTATCGATAAATACATGAGCCCTCCCTAACACTTTTACCGCTGTTGCACCAATAAGGCAACATGCAAAAAACAACGCCAATATTGATGTATTTGCAGAGCTTACCGCATGAAGAAAATTAGCGGGAAAAAGATTTGTAGTAATTCGCGAAAAATCAAGTAAGGACCCGGTTGCAGCATCGGGGACGAGTGGAACTGTAGAGGTAATGGGTATGAAATTGAAAATGATTAAAGAAACTAACGTAAGGAGAGAAATAAGAACAAAGCCAAACAGCATTACCTTGCCTACAATTGATATGAATAGTTTTAATCCTCTGAGCACAAAACTAGTAATGATGAGAGAAAAAACAAAATAAGGAATGGTGATGTATAAGATAGCACTACTTAAAAGCTCTGATATTGGTGTAATGAATGAGTTAATAAAAGGAACGGGTATATATATACCCGAGACAAGACCAAGCGAGATACTCATAAAATAAAAACAATGAGAAATCTACTTGTTTTCTGAAGATTTTGCTCTGCCATATTTCCTTATTATATACAAGGGTGGTATTTTTTGCTTGTCTGACTTCTATGTTCCTGCGTAATGCATCAATGAAAAAACCTAGGTCCAAAATATTTGTGCACTCTGTTGCTGTAAAAAAGCACGTGTTGTAGTCGCTGGAAAAAAGTTGTGATTGTATGTAAAGCCCCTCTGCTGTGCTTGCTTTGTATTCTAAGTGCTTCCCCGAGTATTTTTTCTGTAAAGCCGTATAGGAGAGAGCATTTTTTCTGCACGTCTATTGTATGATGGAATTGCGCTATAGCAATGCGAAGCTTTGTCTTTAGTATTTTACAGATAGTTCTGTATCCTATATCTAGCATAGAGTGGTATACTGAGCTTGAGGTACGATGTGCAGTGTTATGCTGTGGAAAAGCAATAATAAGAGCCGCTCTGTTTTTTCTATCACTGCTATGTGTAAGGTATGCAAGTGACTTTCTAAGTAGTTCTATAGCGAAGGAAAATTCTGTATAGAAAAGGTCGTGTATGCTATGGTCTTCAGATAAAAAAAAATCCTGAGTTTGTGGTAATTTAAGGCATATAATAATACTATTAATCTCAGGTAGGGTTTTGAGGTGTAAATCAACTATAGATGCGGCATAGTTGTTAAGTTGTATAGTATCGTTGTCCCCCTTTTCTCCAACAACAAGGTAAGAATAAGGGAGTGATGCTTTGCCAAACATACTGCATAACCCAAGAATGCATTGATCATCATTTCCGGTGATAAATATCTTTTTTTGCATTACTTTATATATTATAAAATATAATAGGGAAGTGTATAGTATAAGTTAGTAGTATGCGTATAACATTTGCTCAAACGAATCCCACCATAGCAAGTATTGAGGAAAATAGTGTAGCTATATCTAAGATTATTGCCAAACACAGCAGCACCGATCTATTTATTTTTCCCGAACTAGCAGTAACAGGGTATAAGCCATTGGATTTTCTTTACATGGATAGCTTTTTTGACAGAATAAGCAATGCTGTGGCTGCCATACAAGCTTCCTTGCACGAAGAGGCCTCGCTTATTATTGGTCTTCCATATCTTAGTTCAGGGAAACGTTCAGGAAAGCAACCCCAAAAGGAAGATCTCTCTGCAGAACACTGCTTGCAGGATACGTTTTTCCTTTCTCAGCAGAGGACTGAGACTGTGTTTAATATAGCAATGTACTGCAGTCGAGCAAAGCAAGAGGGCATGCAAGCAAAGCGAGCGCTACCGAGTTACGATGTATTCTTTGAGCGCAGGTACTTTGAAGCAGCACATACTACAAAAGTATTCTCATGTCATGGTATGAGGTTTTGTGTGCTTATTTGCGAGGATCTCTGGTCTCCTATGGAACCAGGGCATCCAGTATATGACGCCTGCTCTCTAGCCCTAGATTTTATTGTTGTAATAAGTGCCTCTCCATACCAGATTCAGAAGGAAGAAAAACGCAAGGAGTTGGCACGCGTGCTCTCTACCACTGCTCAATGCCCGCTTATCTATTGCAATATGGTAGGGGGGAATGATGAGCTTGTCTTTGATGGTAACTCGTTTGTGCTTTCTGATAAGGGCATTACCCTTATGCAGCTTTCACATTGCAGTGTTGATGTAGGAAGCTTGGTGCTTCGAAAAGAGCAGGGGAGTGTAGTGCTGCACCCAGAAGCAAGCGAAACAACAGGCATCGTAACGCAGAATACAACAGCAGAAGTGCGCACTCATACAGGGGAACTTCGGTCTTACGAGGGGGCATGCAGTAGTTTGGAGCAGAGAACCAACAGCACAATTGCCAGTAGCTATTATTCAAAACAGGAAGATCTTGCGAGGCTTGTACCTGTCTTAGAATTGGGTCTACGTGATTACTTGCTTAAACTGCAACTTCCATTACAGGTGCATCTCGGGATTAGTGGGGGAATTGATTCTGCTGTAGTAGCATATCTTGCAGCTAAGAGCATAGGACCAGAGCGAGTATGTGGGATTATGCTGCCATCGCAGTACACAAGCAGCGAGAGCTGGGAAGACGCTTTGCAGCTTATTGAGCGTTTACAGATCAAGAAATATATTGTTTCAATTTCAGAAATCACAGCATGTATAGAAAAACATATAACGGATGTCTTTCCTCCCAGCCCACGAGGCGTAAGCGAGGAAAACATTCAAGCAAGAGTGCGTGGTCTTATCCTTATGGCGTACTCAAATAAGTATGCTTCCACGCTTTTAACCACTGGGAATAAATCAGAGTTAGCAGTGGGCTACGCAACACTCTATGGGGATATGTGTGGTACACTCAATATCATTGGTGATCTGTATAAAACCGAGGTTTTTCATTTAGCAGAGCATATAAATAGTACTAAGGAACATATCCCACGACGCATACTCCATAAAGCTCCTTCTGCAGAACTACGTGAAAACCAGACGGATCAAGACAGTCTGCCTCCGTACAGTGTTTTAGATGATATTCTCTACGCTTTTATCAATGAATACAAAAGCCCAGAGCAACTGATACACGAAGGAAAGCACGCTCCTGCTGTAATTCAAAATATATGGCAGCTCTACTGCAAGGCAGAATTCAAACGACGACAGGCCGCCCCCATCATTAAAGTATCCTCTACTGCTTTTGGGAGAGGTCGCTTTGTTCCGCTAGTGCATAAGCTGTAGGTGTTGCGAATTATTGTTTCTGAACTATTGTTCTTAGTTAGGGCGTATTATACGGATGATACGAGTGTACGCTCTGCGTGTTGTGTATTATATGCAGCAGAGAAGAGTAGTATATAATAATACATGGAAGATACAATGCAGAAGCTACATCGTGGAAAACATACATTCAAAAACAGCTCGTGAAAAACTGCTACGTACATCACTATTCTAAGGAGCTTGCCTAAATGTCATCTGGGGTTCAATTTATTACAGGTGGACCATTCATTCCATCTGAGCTTTTACAATCTCACCGCAAAGGTAATTTGGTTTTGTTTTGCGGAGCAGGGATTTCACTCAATCTAGGACTCGGAGATTTTAAGGGGCTTACAGAAGATTTGTATGGAGAACTAAATGCTGATGAAATGCTTGAAGAAAACCTCAAATGGGAAAAAGATTTTGATAAAGGCAATTATGATAGAGTTCTGGGGTATTTGGAGAATGAGAATGAAGAGCGCTTTAGAACTGAATTAAGCAAATGGGGAAGCGGTATTTCTGAACCAGCAGATTACTCTACTCATGAAGCGATTATTGATTTAAGCACAACAAGTGAGTCTGGAGTACGGTTAGTTACAAGCAATTTTGATCTTGCCTTTTGTAATCTTTGTGAGAGGACAGAGCGGTTTAAGGCAGTAACCATTGATAGCGCCCCAAAACTACCTGTGCCAAAGCATTCGAGGTGGAACAACAGCATTGTTCACCTCCACGGTATTAGCACAGACAAGCGTAATATTACAGTGACGAGTGCCGATCTTGGTTTAGCATATATTACCGAAAGATGGGCAAGTAGATTTATAACTGATTTATTTTATAATTTTGATGTACTATTTATTGGGTATAGCTTACATGACCCGATGTTTCGGTATTTTATAGACGCTATGTCATCAGAATCTAAGGGAAGAAGAGGCGCTACTCGCTCTCGATATGCTTTTGTGAAAACTTATAATGAAGACAATGAAGACAATGAAGACAATGAAGATGCTTGGAAAGAGAAGGGAATAACACCTATCCAATACAACCCTATCTGTAGTAAGCATTGTGCATTGCATGAAACGCTTAAAAAATGGGCAAAAAGACACAAGGAAGGCAGTTCGGGTTTCAAAAAATGTTGCTCATCATATTACGAAAAGCCCCCAACACCTGGGAATATTGATACTGAATATATTCTACATGAGTTACTATTATGTGATACACAATCCACAGAGTTCTTTGTGAAGCATTCAGAAACAAAAGATGGGAAGAATGTTACAAAGTTTCCAGTATTCGAGTGGTGGAGCTGTATTTCAGAGAAAGAGAAGTCTAACGCTGATGCCCCAAAAAGAGGGGGGAGCTGGTGAACGCTTTGGTAAAGGATTCATACGAGAAGCACAAGGAGTTGCAAGACTACCATGATCATTATATAAAATGGTTTATTGATCTTCTTCCAAATGATGAACTCAAAAAGTGGGTCATTACGAATGGCGCCTGCCTTCATCCTAAGCTAATTCAAAAGATGTATGGTTTCATATTCACAGAGAAGGCACTCATAAAGGACGATCGCAAGAACGAGAACGATCGCATTTTTTGGGAATATCTCATTTTTTACAACGAATTTCTATCAGTACCACACATGCTTAAAGATAAAAGTTTTGTTTTTGACACAGCCTTGAAAGAATCTTACTCAGAAAAAAACATTACACCATTCCTACGAGTATATGGACGCATCGATACTTATTTCACCGATGACCCCCAGACAGCTTTTACAAGCACGCTTAACATTGATTACAAATTGATATTTGATACGGTGTCTTCCGAAAAAAAGCGTAGGGGTAGAAGTAATATTCTATGTTGTTATATTTCCAAATGTACAAAAAAACAGCTATCTTACCTTATTACTCACATAAAAGGAGAGTTGAACAAAATACTTAAGAGCGAAGCTCACTTGGGAATGATGAGCAAGGAGGACGAGGGCTATGAACGTCTCTGTCTTGATGTTCCTTCAATTGAACCAGATGATCAGAGTAAATATGGAAAAGGGTGGGCATTCATAATCGAATTATTAGTGCTCTGTGTTAAAAATCTTATGAGGCATGATAAGGACTTAGCACGTTCATGGGTCCTTGGGTTTTCGCATTCCAATTTCCCTTTATATAAACGCTTGTCTCTCTATTTCTTACGTTGCCCAAATCTATTTTCAATTGACGAAGTAGTTGAATATACACGCAGATATGTAAAAGATTTTATCTGGGGTTCTTTGTATAAGAAAGAATGGCATGCACTACTAGAGTCTCGGTGGAGCTGCCTACCCCCTACATACAAGGATGATATTTTTGCACTCATAATAAAAGGTGGAGAAATAAGCAAGCATAAAGATAAAAAGTGTCGAGATTTAAAGATATACTCTGTTTTATCTTGGTTTGAAGAAAAGAATTTCTTAACAGAGGAGGCGCGAGGTACGTTAGAAGATTTAAGGGGACGATACACAGAACCTACACTAGCACTAGCAACTAGAGCATTTGCAGATTTTCGTATACATTCAGCAGGCATTCAGTTTGTAGAATACGATACAACGTTCATTACAGCAACATGCAGAGAGCAAGATGTAGATGCGGCAGCAGATACAATATTGTCTGAGTTCAAGAAAAGAAAGAGCGCAAGCGAATACCGACGTATCAAGGAGCTAAGCTTTTTAGGGTGCTTGCAGTCAGAGTATTTAGAGTATTTAGAAAAATTATTCTCCACAATGCAAAAAATTGCTAAGATGGAAACTGAAGATGCAGCCGACGTGACATATGTCTTTTTTCATGATGTAGTAACTATCACAGCAAACAAGGGTAAGATTATAGATCAGCATGCAGAAGACCTGCTGTCTTTAATGCGAGAAAGTTCAGAATGTATCAAAAAAAAGTGCATTCATTATATGTCGAAATGTTTTTACGATATCATAAAAGGAAAGAAAGCTGTGCTGGAGAAGGTGTTTGATATATGGGAGCTGCTTTTTTCTTACAGCAAGGAAAAGGTAAGCGAGGAAGTAACAAGCAATAATAACAAGGATTATGTGCAGCTCAGTATAAATTCATCACTAGGAGTACTATATTTTGCTGTTGTTGATGATTACTTTTCAGTGGAAAGAGAACGGGACTGCGGTCTTAATGGCTGTGTTAAAAAAGCTTGGGATGCACTATCCACTGTTAGTGATACACAGGCCGCAATGGGGTATGTGCGTTTTGGTGTTCAATTAGTTAATATTGAATATGTTGACTACGAGTTTTTTAAGGAAACGATATGCCCATGTCTAGGTAAAAACTGTACACGCTCCACAGCACTTTGGACTGGCTTCCTTTTTTCACCATTTCCCAGTCTCAGGTTTTTTGATGCAGTAAAAAATGAGCTCTTGGGACTGCACGAGATCATTAAAGATAAAGAATACAGAAGACACTCGATAGCTCTGCTGGGCAGAATAAGCATGTATAACCCTGAACTTCTCAGCCCCAAAGAGTTTAGAACTGCCTTACACCAATATAACGAAGACGAAGCAGGGGGAGTAATTTATAGTATTGTTTGCGACATGAAAAACACAGAGGAGGGGAAGAAGCAAGAGCTTTGGTCAAAAAGTGTTCGCCCCTGGATAGAAAAGTACTGGCCAACGAGTGGAAAATATATTTGCAAGAACTATAACTCCATGTGGATAAGCTGTCTATTACAAGTGCCCGTACCTGTAGAGGATGATTTTACTACCATCACACAACTTCTGCACCCAAGTCTAGGTGGATGTTCTTCGTCTTTGATTGGTATAGGAAAGAAAATAGAATCGCATCTGGGCTACATAACAGTCATACACAAGCTCATAAAGGATGAACCCTCCAATAGCAATAATATACTTGAAAACCTTGAAACACTGAGTTCTATTCTAGGTACAATAGAAAAGCATGTGGTGGGTACAGACTCAAAATACAAAAAAATGTATGATACCATACAGAACAAAATAGAACAAGCACGCTAAGGCACGCGAGTGTAAGGGGGCGGTAAACGTATCCTGTATGTAGGAGTGAACAGCAAAGATATCGCTGGAATATGTATACATAAAAGCAAACGTATGTGCCGATAATAGTAGTAAGTACAGTATGCTCACGTATAGCACTGCATTACGGCAAAACAAAATGCATGGAGTTGTGTTTGCTCATTCAATAGTGAGGTTTTGGAGTATTGTAAGTTGGTATAAGTATAAGTGTTGAGTATGCATATTAATTGAGGTAAATGCTACTATTACTTTGAAGAGTGCATGCATAGTTCTACTGCTGGCACAGGGTGAGTAAAGCATGATCATTCCATGCGATAGAGGTATGCTAAGATAGTGCGTCTTAAAAGATGCTGGAATACGCATCAGGAGCGAGAAAATTATATGATGTATTTCTAAGTGGCAGAAATATTTTCTAGTACAAGAAATAGCATGCAGAGAGAGGCTTGTACAAAGATTCTATTTTTACTACAATAGAGGTAGAGGTGGGTGCTGCGAGCTGTGTTGCTTATGTAACTGATAAAAGAGACAGTGGCATAAAAGTTGCAGATTAATGAATTAATGAATTAATGAATTAATGATATCATAGGTAATAAAATAATACGGAAAAAAAGGAAAAACAAGGTGGACAAATATGTATAGATTAGCTCCAATATCAAGTTTTTTAGAGGGTGTAGGAAGAACTGTAGATTTTGATGATAATCTACAACAATATAATTATTTAGAAAGCGTAAAGGAAACTGATGCGAAAGCAATTTACTCTGATTTCTTTGCTGTAGGGAACGACTTTATTGAATTTTTAGAAGATAATTATTCACGTGTCGAAGAATAAGAAAAGGAGTGCAAGAGGAAATCCTCCAACCTTAAGAAACAATAATCAAAGCTCGCATATCCAAAAACAAAGATTGGAAATAAGCAGTATTAAAATTTCTAGCCCAATACCACCCCCTGAAATAATGGAAAAATA